CAAAATTTTACTTTCTTGTGCTCTCGGTAAAGAAAGAAAGATTGAAGAGATTAGTTCTTGATGGGCTGACAAGGTCTCCTGACACGTATATGAGTTAGTGCAACAAGTTACATCTGGCACAGTATCTGTAGCCAAATGATGCCGGGCTCATAATTGCAAAAAGCATTTACTAGAAATAGGTTTTAGTTTTTAAAACAGATTTCACCATGTAAATATTTGTATTGTAGCACTAACAAGACTGTTAAAGAATAAAAAAAAAAAAAAAAAAAAAATTAAAGTTTTGCATAAAAAAAGTACTTTGGTTTGATAAGAATTTGTTTTATTTTATTTTTCAATTGGTAGTTATTTTTGACTTTGCCAAGTCTAATTGTATAGACTAATCTCTAATAATAAATAACATTTAGCTTTTAAAACCTTGTAGTATTTATACAAGTCATTTGAGTTTAATTTATAAATTGAATTTATCTTTGTACAAGGTTTAGTGCTTAGCATAATTTATTATTATAAATAAAAATATTAAATGATATAATGAATTTATGCAAAAGAATTTTGAAATATGCATAATATTTTTATCTTAAATGCATTAATTATGTATATGATCTGATATATAAATCAATAGTAAATTAAATTAAAAATTATAATTAACATGATCTCTCTTGAATAAGTAATTTAAGAATTTAGAGATTTAATTAAAGAGAAATTAATAAATATTATCTGTGTTTGTATAGTAATAGTATCATATATTAAGTTAGTTTTAATTAGATTATAGTCTATTTTTTTTGTGAAAATTATATAAATATGAAGGCTTGCTTTTTTAAGTTTTAAACTATCATGTTTTCTTTTTAAACATTAAGACAAAATAACAAGAACAAAAAGACCAATTAACAAAAAAACTAATAAAATCGAAAAAACAAACCAAATAGAAAGTAATTATTAATATAAAAATTAGAGTTTGCTTCATATTAAGAAAATATTACTATACTAATTAGGAGGATGTGGAAGAGGAAGTCGTGAGGGCGGGAATCACAGAAGAGAAAACCGTAAAAGAGGAAACCATGACAGAGGAAACCATGGCAGAAAAAACCTTGGAAGAGGGACAAGTTGTGAAGAAGGTTAACATAATAATGAACATAAAACAAGTGTTGAATCTTCTGCTCAAAATATTGGGCTTAATAACTTGGATTCAAACTATAAAAAAGAAATTGGATCAGTTATCAGTAAAGAAAAAAGGCCAGTTAAATTCAAGATTTTTGACAAATTTACTATACTAATGTGTTGAATACAATACTAATAGTGTCGAAAACTGCAAGTTGTAATTTAGTATCAAGGTCCCTAGGTTATTGAACTTTTTTATTTATTTTAGTGATTTGCAAAAAAAAAAAAAGCTCTAAATTATTTTCAATTTTAATCCTTTCGATTTGGTTTGTTTCTTCGATCTCATTAGTTTTTTTGTTTATTGGACTTTTTGTTCTTGTCATTTCATCTTAACATTTAAAAAAAAACATGATAGTTTAAAATTTAAAAAAGAAAGCCTCCATATTTATATAATTTTCACAAAGAAATAGGCTATAATCTAATTAAAACTAACTTAATATATGACACCGTTACTACACAAATGCAGATAATGTTTATTAATTTCTTTTTAATCAAATCTCTAAATTCTTAAATTACTTATTCAAGAGAGATCACATTAATTATGATTTTTAATTTAATTTACTATCGATTTATATATTAGATCATATATATAATTTAATACATTTAAGATAAATATGTTATGCACATTTCAAAAAATCCCTTGCATAAATTCATTATGTTATTTAATATTTCTATTTATGATAATAAATTGTGCTAAGCCTTGTATGAAGATAAATTCAATTTATAAATTAAACTCACGTGACTCATATAAATACCACAAGGCTTTAAAAGCTAAACATCATTTATTATTAGAGGTTATAGTCTATATAATTAGACTTAGCAGAGTTAGAGATAACTACCAATCGAAAAATAAAATAAAATAAATTCTCATTGAACCAAAGCACTTTTTTTGTGCAAGACTTTAATTTTTTAATATTGTTACATTTTTCTATAATATATATTTAAATTTCAAAAATATATAAAAGTTATAAAGGTTGTATTCCATCAATTAAATCATTATTTTTGCACCAAAATACAAATTTTTCTAATCGCAATGTCCTTCAAAAATTTAAACAGTTTGGATTATTTAAATTAGGTAATAAAAATATTTAATATATAAGGTAGATATGGGTATTAGTATATAATAAAATTTTAATTATCATTTAATAACCACAAAATACCCATAACTGCTTTAATATGCATATCTACCTTATATTCAATAAAAAAACTTGTAGGTTTGCATTACATTATAATTATTTCGCACCTTATATTAATATCTTTATATATAAAATCAAATATAAATGACAAGAAAAGAGATAAAGTAGAATTAGATTCACAAAATAAGATTGATCTGCAAGGTGAACTACGATCAGAAACGGAAACAGAAACACATGGCAAAGTGAATTTGCAAGATGAGATTGATCTGCAAGATGAAATTGAGTCACAAGATGAAATAGAATCATATGATGAAATAGAAATGCAAAACAAAATAGAAGATATAATAGAAGACTATATAGTGGAGGAGGGTAATAATAATAACAGTAGTAGCGATAACTTTATAGATAAAGATCAGATTGTTGACTTACCAATGGATATAAACCAGATATTGAATACAAATAAAAGTGCATCATACTTTGAGAATCCAACCTCTGCATTACTATTTTGCTAGATACAGAAGTACAATATTTGTAATATATAATTTTTTTTTTCTCTTGAACTTATTCAATAATTCAATATATAATTTTTTTTTTTTTTTAATATTAAAGGTAACCACTTAGGCCATTGGTATGAGCTTTATTTCGGATAGTTACGATATTACATCAGATTCACGAGGATACAACTAGCC